TTTTAAAGGAGTTCTATTTAATTCGTTTCGGAAAGGTTCCTTCATGCGCCGAAGCCCGGGTTTGATACTGCACATACGCACACTTGCCGACTCAAGCACGCTTACTCGAACCTCACTCACACGCACTCACACGCACACACACACACACACACACACATATATATATACATATATATATATATTCATACCAATACCGGTGTGTAGACACATGCAATAAGTCTCACATGTGTGCCATAGAAGGTATATATCAATATATATATATATATATATATATATATATATATGTGTGTGTGTGTGTGTGTGTGTGTGTGTAAAAAACAAACAAAAATAAACATCAGAATTTCAAAACCCATAAAAGGTGAATCCAGTAATAGACGAGCATACTAAATCCCGCACATAACTCACTAATGGGTGTGCGTGTATATATATATATATATATATATATATATAAGAATAAAAAAGATGAGATGAAAAACTATTCATTGCCGACGCTTTTCGTGTTCTGAGGGACTCTATCAAGGCAATGTATGTATATGTATGTCGTCTCTATTCAAATAACCGTCTTCTAATGTGAATTCAGTCTACAGTTAAAATAAGAGACCTGTCACCTTTTACATGCACGTAACTGTTTACATTACATTCGCGTGTAGCGTAAGGGCTATCGGTGCTCCTTGTGGAATCAGCGCGCCGAGTTCAAATTTCGGTCGTTACTGTTTCGTTCACTTAGTACGAATACCCCTTGGCACTCGGCTATCTTTCCATTGCTTGCGTCCAATCATGGACAATTAAATCTTTGAATTACAAACTGTGTCTTTCCAGGAAGTATTAGATTTAAACCTATGGAATATCCTTAAGGAAGAGTCGATTTAAATATCATTTAAGCTAGGGGCTGGAAAAGAGGGGCACGATTGCAACTGAGGCGATATAAGGCTTAGATTTTGAAATTTTCTTATTTCGTTGTTCACCTAATACACAGCCTAAGAGACACTTATGTTAGACGGTAAACGAATGAGTTTGTTACCAAGGGCGTAAAGGGAGAAAGTAAGTAATGCATATTATAAGAATATATAGGATAGATAACCTTTGACCATAAACGTTGATAGGTTAAAGTTTTAGTGCTCGGGGAAGCATCTACTTCCGTGTCTTTTCGATAAAGTCACAGTTCTGGGGAAGAAGTTGTCTGAGTAGAACTTCCCCCTTTACCAAGTGAATACGAAAGCAATGCGGATGCTTCGACTCAGTGTACGTAGGTCTGAAATGAGAGAAGTAATGAATGGATAATTGTCAGAAAAATAACGATAGATTATCGAGAGGCTATCAACATTTTGAAAGATCTATACCTATGTACCTGTGCCAAAAGGGGTTGTAGGGTAGAAAATAATTTCTCAGTCATAAGGTCATATAAACACTTTTGAATCCTCTTAAGGCTGGAAAATGAGGATTGAGCAACACTAGCTCAGATATATCCGCAATATTCCATTTCTGCTTTAATCTGTCTAAAATAGTAAAATATATAACACCGGCGAAACACCGGAAGACCTTACTAGATTTATCTAAATATCGATGTAATAGAAACCAACTGCAAACGAATGTAAGCTTCCTTTGAAAATCAGTTTGATGAACCACGTAAGGAAACTTATGATTCAGATTGTAGAGGAAAAAAATCGTAGCACGAATTACGCCCAAAATCAGGCAAGAATAGTGCTGATGGGTTCCAGACATCGGAACAAGGAATAATAATAATAATAGTAATAATAATAATAATAATAATAATAATTGGTATAAAAGAAGTACAAAATCGAAACCACTGAGAGATGATATGAGCACCAATCAGACATCGATGTAACTATCCTCTGGGACATGCCAATTCAAAATGACAGGGAAATAAAAGCAAACAGACGTGATATTATAAAAGATAAGAAATTCAGGATGTTTATATTATTGACATAGCATAAACACCTCTTTGAAAATTATCGAGAAATTGTCCATATCCAAGGATCTGGCGATCGAAATTAACAGGATGTGAGGACTGAAGACTGAAACGGAACCAATAATCGGAGCTCTGGACCTCGTTAGAACAGTGTCCCAGGTAACATCAACATACAAGTTGCCCAGAAGATCGCCCTACTATGAACAGCCCATATACTAAGAAAAATGCTATCGATTAAATGACAATTTTCAATTTCTGGCGGTGCTCGTGGCTAGAAAAAAAGAAAAATGCGTGACTTATTCTTTAAAAAAAATTGTTTAACATTTTATGTTTTTTGCTTTAAGTGTCCGAGTTTAAAGAGAGAAATCCATCGGAATGGCTAGAAAAATAAAAATGGATGAAACGTTTTCATCTATTCTTTCTCCATGTCGTCAATATGTTATGAATTTGGGTAAATGATCCCAAAAGTGTTATATATTAAATAATTTATTAATTAAAATTAATTAAATGATCCCAAATATTAAATTATTTATTAATTGAAATTAATTAAATGATCTCAAAAGTGTTATATATTAAATAATTTATTAATTAAAATTAATTAAATAATATCGAAAGTGTTATATATTAAATTAATTATTAATTAAAATAATTAAATGGTATCGAAAGTGTTATATAGTAAATTGATTATTAATTAAAATTAATTAAATGGTCACGAAAGTGTTATATATTAAATAATTTATTTAATTAAAATTAATTAAATGATCTCAAAAGTGTTATATATTAAATAATTTATTAATTAAAATTAATTGAATGATATCGAAAGTGTTATATATTAAATTAATTATTAATTAAAATTAATTAAATGATATCGAAAGTGTTATATATTAAATTAATTATTAATTAGAATTAATTAAATGATCACGAAAGTGTTATGTATTGAATAATTTATTAATTAAAATAATTTAAATGATCACGAAAGTGTTTTATAATAAATTATTTATTAATTAAAATTAATTAAATGATCACGAGAGTTGATTAATTAATTAAATTTTTTTTTAAAATAAATCATTCATTTTCTTTCTTTTCTAGTCAAGGGCGACGCCAGATTGAGTAAAATATATAATCTTGTTATTTTAAATAAACACACAAATACATCATCCACACGCAATTCACCTTGTCGTCTTCGATGTGACGTAGCTCGAAATGGGCAATGAGCATTATCGGATATTTTGGGAAACATTTATTTCAATTGTCATTAATATATATATATATATATATATATATATATATATATATATATATATATATTAGGTTGGTGCAAAATAATGACGTAATAATGCCGTTTTTGACGTATTTTTTAACGTCAAAAACGACATTATTACGTTATTATTTTTGCACCAAACTAATATATTAAGAATTTGGTAAATGATCCCGACAGAGTTATACATTAAATGACAATTGGAAAAAAGTTCATGAAAATATAATGTTTCGAAAAAATACCTGTTTTTTCCAATTGTTATTAATGTATAACTTTGGCGGAATCATTTGCCTAGATTAATAGCAATGCACACACACACACACACACACACACACACACACACACACACACACATATATATATATATATATATATATATATATATATATATATATATATATATATATATATAATTTTTTATTTATTTACCATTAATTGTTATTCGCCTATTAATACCCTATTTCACGCAGAGTGATTTTTAAAATGGGTATTTCCCAGATCGACAGGTTTTTCCTGTTTTACAAAGATCAGTCGACCTGGAAAGTGTTCAAAATAATCCCGCATCTATTTGGAAAAATCGCTGGAGGAGATTATTAAGGAGTACATAACAAAGAAGTTATCTTTGCGCGTGCTAATATCTCTTTTAAAGTATTTTAAATGGAGCACTTTTATATATATATATATATATATATATATATATATATATATATATATTCGAAAAGGAATATAGAAATAATGTATACATATATAAACAAACTTGAACCGTCGTGATTGAAAAGAAAAAGTGGTGTTAAAAGGATGGTCTTTCCCTTGATACCGCTATTATTTTAACAAATTTCACTGTTCGGCAATGTTTATTGTTTTACAAATGGAAGATTAGAAGTGAAATAAAATCTAAACATATAAAAGTGAATTCATACATTTCCTTTGTATTTGAGAATTGACAACAAAAATAATAAACACTATTTATTATGATGTTTATTGGAATAGATGGAAAAACATCGGATATTTGCCAGTTGATTCGAATTTTATAAAATGGTATATAATAAGGATTTCCTTATAGTTGGTTCATATATTTTAATAAGGATTTCCTTATTTTAATAAGTAAATGTTTATAAATTTATGGATAAAAATTATTTTCATATTTATTTCTTTATAAATTGGTAAATGATAAATATTGCATTGCAATAGCTATAATTGCATTAGTTTTTGGAATGTTGTAAATATAATATTATTATTTTAAAAAAGAGTAATAAATAATGATTTAATAATTTAATAAAGAGTGTTTAATATTTTTGTTGTAAATTCTCAGGAACAAAATATGCCTAAATTCGTCATACGTTTAGGTTTCACAGCAATTTTGATCAAACAAAAATATGAAATGTAATTAAAATAATAGTGGCGTCAAGGGAAAAAACCGTCCGTTTTATACTCCATTTTTTGCGTCCACAAAGATCCAAGTTTGGGCATATATATATGCATGTGTATATATATATATATATATATATATATATATATATCTTCAGATCGAAATCTTTTAGAAACGGAGACAAATAAAATATAATGAAATAAATTATAACCAAAACTAATTTTTAAGGTTTTCCTCTTGAATATTATTATATTGCTCTGTAGGTCACATTGAGCTCTCTCTGGATTAATATCCTCCTTGGAATTATCGCTACCAGTCATAAATTGGTAATATACATATATATATATATATATATATATATATATATATATATATATATATATATATATATAGACAATGTAGACATAGGAATCAGCATATGTCGAGTGTTAGTTTCATATCTCATGCGATGTAAACACAAACTATCTCAGTCTGTTCATATCTATCTATCTATCTATCTATCTATCTATCTATCTATCTATATCAGTCTGTTCATATCTATATAATTTTATGTGTGTTTTTATTTCTTTTTCGTTCGTGTAAGTGTTGATGGCTGAATGATGTCATAAGTTGCAAATATATATATATATACTGCTCGTTCCCCCAAAATACCTCCACTTAAGTTGCGGATATAGAGTTTGCTCTTTAGAGAGATAAATATAATGTAATATAATGCTATCTTTAACACTAAGATAAGGTAGTGAGCGTTGAATGAACAGAAAGATATTCGCAGAGATGTGTTTATGAAAGGATTTGATGACGCCATCAAAATGGTCACGAAGCAGTTTGCAACCTTTGACCTCATCAAATTTTCAAACGCATTTTCATTGACGGCCGTAAGATAAAATGCTTTCTGGCAAACATAGTATATGCACATATGCATCGATAAATCTACATATTTTTCATAAATATTTGGACACACACAGACACACGCGTGCAGACACGCACGTACCCCCACACTCATTGTGTTTTTATACAGCAAAATGAATCTTAGCAAATTATTTGAAATTCAACCTACAATGCCTGACGAATTAGTTTAGGAATGATTTCTTGGTCAGCCTGAGAGATTTATACCATTCCCTCGAATATATATACATATATATATATATATGAAGAAATATAGTCTTTAGATGTGCTATATTTATGGGATAAAGTGCTCAATATCAGAGATAGAGCGTGTGTAAATATAAAAGTGAACATAGAAGTCAACATAGGCGACAAGCTGTTTCATGTTAGATACAATCGTGGCCTGACGATTGCATCTAGTATGAAACAGACTGTCGCCTCTAAATGTTGACTTCTATGTTCACTTTATATTTATATATATATATATATATATATATATATATATATAAATGAACATTGAAATGAATAAATTCTGTATTGTTTTTTCGAGAAGTAGATTTTTCTTTTAGCTTCCACAGTTAAAATCTACTTTCTGCACCCCGGCAACTGTATAGATACGAATACGAACTCAGTCCACACTGGGGGTGATAAGACAGACAACCTATGGATTTTATTGTTTATTATATATATATATATATATATATATATATATATATCATTACAAACGGCTGATAAGGTACTGCGCTTGAGTGTTTTATTTAAGTTTTCTTGTGCTGTTATAATTTTTTCGGAACATAAATTACGTAGAAATTTCCCGAATGTTACCAAAGATGATTTTTTTGAAAATTTTTAAATGAAAATAAACATTTTTATTTGTCTATCTAGAGATATAGAAATATTTTATTTCCCATACGCGGTCAGCACATTGTGGCCGTGTTCATACTTGATGTAGAAATAATAATGGAAGCATTATAAAAAGAATAAAGAAAAAGACCAGACTCAGTATGAACACATTCACTATGTGCTGACCATGTTTGGAAAATGAAATTCCTACAAATCTAGATACATACATAAAAAATGCATATATTCACTTTAGAGTAGAAATTAAGAACATTCGGACAAATTTTACATAATTTATGTCCAGAAAAAAGAAGTCCTTTTTAACGAAACTCGTAGTAAAAGACAATAGGAAAACTGTAATATTAGCTGTCAGCTAATATTACAGTTCCTCTTGAATATTATTATATTGCTCTGTAGCAATATAATAATTTGGTTTTTCGAAAAAAAAAAACTGAGTTACATAAAATATTTAACAAAAACAATGTAAAACTTAGTTATTGTTGTATGCCGAACGTAGGGACGATTATAAATGGATTGAATAAGAAAAAAACTAGGAATGATCCACGTAGTAATCCTCCTACTTGTAATTGTAGAAACAAAAACATCTGTCCATTACAGGGAAAATGCCAGCAAGAATGCGTGGTGTATCAAGTGAAAATTTACAAAAAGAGTGAGGATACTAACCCTAAAACATACATAGGTGCTACTCAGGATAAATTTTAAAAAAGATATTATAACCACACGAGTAGTTTTAAGAACGCAAAAATTAAACATAGTACCACGCTATCTACCTACGTATGGAAAACAAAACAAGAAGATAATATAGACCCATCCTTAAATGGGAAATATTAAAAAATGCCCAAAATATAAAGCAGGCGATAAATTTTGCAAATTATGTGCTGAGGAGAAATTAGCCATAGCTTTATATGATCAACCTAACCAGCTATTAAACTCTAAAATTGAAATTCTCAATGTATGTAGACATAAAAAATCTTGGCTACTAAATTAGACGTTTTCCCGTTATTGACTTTCCACCTTGAGGATTTTTTTTTGTTGAATAAATATTTACCCCCCCCCACTTAGGTTGTGTTTGTTTGTTTGATTTTTTTTGTCACGTGGTATGATTTTAGCTATCACCTATAAATATGTGTTTATCTTTGCCTCGTTAGCCAAACTTTCCCTGACGATCCGTTTAGGTGAAACCTAGGTAGGTTTGTCTGGCTCACTAGGTGTATCTAGGTCTGCTCTACGGTTGTATTGAGCTCTTTTTGTTAGTTGTTTACTCGTATCGGGGTTTTTCTTTGGACTTCAGACCTGCAAATTTTTTTTGTCGACAGAAGTTCATGTTTGTAGCTCTTTTCTTTTTAAAACCTTTTTTTTTCCTCGAGATTGATTTGATTAGCAAATCAAAAATTCGAGGTTTTTTCGAAACGAGTCTAGTTGTCTATATTTTATATATATATATATATATATATATATATATATAATTATTTATTCGAAAATTAAACATAAATATGTTACACAATCTCTACAGAAATAGCCATTTTGTTTCAGCACTTCTGGTGTCATATCAAGTGATGGTGTTGAATGTATAATAAAGCGTTTTAAAAGGTTCAAAACAATCGGACACCCATCTTTAGGGGAAACGTTGTTACTTAAGCTGGAATGACCAATCAAAATACAAGTATCGGAGAAATAAAAAAAAAATTGACAACGAACTTTGCTTATAATTATTATTTAATGCTTTAGTGTTAGGGTTAGACTAAAATAGAATTAATTCTAAGTAATAAATATTAAATTATACAATAAAATTAAAAATCTAAAATGACCAATTTAAAATAAATTCTATTTTAGTCATTAAAGCAGTAAATAATTATTATAACCAAAGTTCGTTGTCAATTTTTTAGAATTCTCATATTTTATAACATATCTATGAAAATGAAAAATTATATATGCTCTACTCTGTATTGAGCACTCTTTTAAGAATAGTATTTGTTGGTTATTGGAATTTATTCCGTATACACCAATCCTATACTTGCACATATATATATATATGAACTTGAGAAGCTCCGGAAAAGTCGATGAGAAATTTCCTCTAAATTTATAGAAAATGAAGCTGTTCATTTCAAATGTTGTAATATCCAACAAAACATGGCAATCCCTAAGTAACTTGACACGTAAACAGAGGGATTAATTTGTTCAAATTGCTAAACTTTTGGTTACTACCTATCATGTACACACACACACACACACACACACACACACACACACATATATATATATATATATATAAATATGTATGTATGTATGTATGTATATATATATAGAGAGAGAAATAGAAGTATTCAATGTGAAGTACGTGAAGGTCAAAGGATAGGTTCCTAGTTTTCGTCAGACCACACTCTAGCAGGAAGAATTGCCCCATCTCGACAACTCAACGATTCCACAAGTGTCGGAAGTCAGGAGTGATTTGAAGTCATGACGTTTCGATAGATATCTTCTGATATTTGATCTTACTAGCAAATAGACCTCTCACCACTTCCCTGAAATGTATGACTGGACTGAATTCAGGCACTGTTAATCGGGGTAATCCTTCTCTGAGGAATTTTCACCAACTTTGGCCTAATGACACCTCAATGGATTGATTAACTGATTTTTGCCTTAAGATTTATCAGTTCCTTGCAGACTATTTAAAGGAGATAGTTTTAGTTTGTAAGATTTTTTTTTTGAGATAATAATGAATTATTGATAAAAGCTCTACTTATTAACCCATAGTTGGGGGAGAAATGTTGGATTCACACCTTTCCATTTGCGCCTAAGTAAATGCAATGAACCCGACTGGAATTGGGACTCGGCTCTCTGTTTTCCAATTCCTAGCTCTTATCTATATTATATCGCTCGCACATCCAAACTTACAGCAACAGGTATACCAATCGGTCACTCTTGTTAGTTGTAATCAGGCTTGACGTTGCTTAACTTCGTCGATAATTCGAGAATCGGTGTTTCAATGTAATAAGCCTGTTAACCTGTTGGAATAACCAGTTGTTTTGGTGGTCATCAAGTCTATGAATGGATGCAAATTGTCACGAACTAATGCAACATTGCAATCTCTAGCGAGCAGAATCTATGCTATGTAAATACACCCTACGCCCTTGAAACCGGCTGCCGCTCACGTGGGGGCCCAAAGAAACAATTCCGAGACTATCTTAAGCGTGCTCTTATCTCTTGCAACATTGATCCGACAGAATTAGAGAACCTCGCAAGGGATCGGACCCGCTGGCGGTCTCTCTACGTCACTGGAGTGGCGCACTTCGTGAAGGAGAGACGAGGAGCGCTCGAGGGGACGCGACGCCAGTGTCATCTGCAACTTGCCAATCGCGCATCGAGCGCTATCTTTCTTGGCAACTCACAGAAGACGGACGGAGATAGAAGAACAGCGTCGTCGTCAGCAATGACCGACAGCCTTAAGCAAACACAAGCATTGTAGAACCACAACGGTGAGTGGTTGTCAACTTATGTTTATGACCGCAACCAAAGTCTACCATCAACCTGAAACATCTCACCTTTTTTTTAATCCTGCAAGTTTCAGTTAATGACTCTCTTTGTTTATTTTCCACCGCTGTGATATGGCTTCCCTCTTTCTTTTCTCATCACTGAAGCATTCTCCTTCTTTTTCGCTGACGCTACCTCTTTGAGTCTTAGAAGCATTGGCTTGCTT